CAGTATTTAGAGAGGCACTAAAATGCCTGTATTTTTTCATACCTCAAAGATGTTCCTCAAAAAGCTCTTTGGCTAAAGCAGTTTGACATTTTTATTCTGTGAGATGACATGAATCTTACAGATTTGCAAGTTGTTAAAAGATGGCTATCTCCACCGGGTCAGCAGTGTAGATTATTAAAGACTGTATATCCATATTGCTACAGAGAACCCACTGTGAACCATTTTTCTTTTCCAAAAATGAAGGAATGCAATGCAGTATGAAATTAATTGCAAGGTCCAGCTATCCAACTTTCGTTTTAGATACTTTTGAGCGTTAAAGCGCCATCTGTTCACTCACTAACTGTCTCATTCACCTCTCCAGCTCGTGCAAATGGACTGTTTTTGGCATCGGGTGGAACACTTTTTTTTTACATCTGGATGTAATCTGGACATTTACTGTACTTTTCCGCAACACCCCGCTGCACATTCTCACAGTGGCATCACATTCACACCTGCTATCTGCCAGTTTATCCTCTGTTGCTTTTCTGAATTTATGACACACTGTGTTGATGAGTCATCGGTCTGCTGATCTGATGACATAGCGTGAAATGTCCCCCTGTCATTATCCTCCTCTCCTTTTTATACACACGGTTAAAATGAACGCCACGAACCTCTGAATGCCACTCAGTATTATTTCAGTGTCAGATCAAGCTTATTCTTGGCCAGAAAGACCTTTTTATTATAATAGTGTTGCTGCCAAGTTTGATCCCTACAGCCTTCACCCTCCTATGTCTTAGTATTAGAACCATATTTCACTTTAGATTCCCACTGTGTGCCAACCAGGGTTGTCAAATATGCCAATGGCCCAAGGGATTCTGACTATCCATGGATAAATCATTTCAGTGTCTTTGAAAACTGATGTCAGTCAGCGCTGCCAAGGTGTAACATACAGTAAATCACAGAGTATAAACTTTAAATATCTTTTTTATTCTGGCAGCTTCTCTGTAGTTTTGAGAGCTGTTTTACATTATGTATTCTAAAACGTATTTCGATGCATATTAGGGATGTTGGCATTCAATTTGAAAGTGTCTCTATATTAAGTTTCATAGCTTATGAACGCAATGATCTACAAGCATACAGTGTCAGCAAAGACTCCGTCACTCCTCTTGTGACTCTCATCCTCTGTGGAATCTGTTAGTGTCAGTAAAGACATTGTATGTTTAAAGACCCCACCCGTTTACGACAAATCACTAACTTTATATTACTCCCAACCATCTCTCAAATTGTAGCATATAGTTTTAAGATGTTTTTATTAACTTGTACTGCTTACCAGGGCAGTAGGGTTTGAAAAGTACTGAGGTGTGAGTCCAAATTGGCTCAACACAGCTTCAGAAATGAATAACTAGCAAAAAAATATTCTTTTCTGGGAGTTAAAACTAAAACAGAAAACTCCATATTTTATTATTCAATTAATTTAACCTTTCAGATATCTTCAGTACATTTTTATCCCCACACACTATGGATTCATAACAAAAAATAAATGATGGAATCTGGTAACGTCTTGCATTAAAAAGGTTCATGTTCAACAACTCACATTTCTAAAATGTTTGAACTTCCCACCAGCACCATATGGCTGGATATTAGTACTGAGTATATTCAACGTATTGACACAATACACAATGATACCAAGTTATACTTAAAAAGTTCTCTGAAAATCAATACCTACCACTTCCTCCTTTGCAGTGTTTCAGAGTACTAATAGATAAATATATGTTGCAGATTTACATTAAAAGATTGATAGATTAATATTTTAAAATGACAATCAAGAGTGAATTATTAATTAAATAAAAGCAATTATTTTTTACAATTTCAAAGTTGACATTAATAATATAAAAGACAATATGTTATACATACAATAATTGTCCTTGTTTTTTATTTTTTATATATATATATATATTTTCCTGTTTATTTGTAAATTCTGTGTATGTACGTGGAGAGCAACGAAAAAAATGGAGTCAATTTCCTTGTATGCCTACGCACACATGGCCTATAAAGCTGATTCTGATTCTGTGATCTATCTCATGCAAGCAGGTTTCACACTGCCATATTAAATGGGTTAAAAGAAATCGACTGTAAAAGTTTTATTGTAAAAAATGGTATGCGTTGGAAAATGCTCAGCTGTCAAGTCAGATGTGTGTATGATTGTATTTAATGGACTTTCAAAAAAAGTAGTAAAACATGCAAAAACACTGATACGGTCTGTGTGGCAGAGCAGTTATGTTGATTTACAGCTGTTCCCAAAAAGCATTTTTATGTCGGTGCTTTAAAATAGTGTGCCTTCAGGAAACTGTGGCAAGGGATAGCACATTAACATTCCAAGTTTATACACGAACCATTTAAACCATTTCCACGGTTGCTGCCAAGAATCATATAGTTTCATGAGCATGAGTTCCTTTTCTTCTTCTTCTTCTTCTTTTTCTTGACATTGATGTGACCCTACATTCACCACAAGAGGGCAGTGTCGGCACTCTTTGTACCGCCGCTCCTGTAGTCTTTGCTGCCGAGTGCAAACGAGGCCAAAGGGAGGAATCAGATCACATACTAATCTCAGAGTCTGTGTTGCTGTAACTAGACACTCTACTTACCCTGTTTAATGACAACAAACGGTACGAGTGCTCAGAAATGATGCCGGCCATTCTCAGGGCCATAGGGGAGAAAACAGATTCCCTCCTTAATCAGAAAGTGATAGACATGAGCCTAGACTTCCCCTCTGTAATTAGCAGCTGAAATACACAAGCATATAAACAAGCACCAATACAGTCAACACAATGTGATTGTTGGACAGAGCTTAAACACAGCAGGTTATCTTCTCAGGGTGCCTGTAAATTATATAAAGAAGAGTTAGCTTATAGCTTATTAGCTTATCATTTGAAATGATATAAAACTGAGACAATAAACTAAACTAATAAGCTACATATTTTCACATGATAACATCTATTTAACATGTTTTTTTTATAGTTGCCAAAACATGTCATTAGAGAAGCATCTCTTCAAACATACTTACTTTATTCAACATATATTCTTGTTTCCCCAACAACAAATTATATTAGTCCTATATATTACAGGAATTTGAAATGTTACCACCAAATGATATTACTCAGAATATTACTCTATCACAATATGATATAGTAGCCGACCTTAAAATATGAAATGCCCTATAGGTGTAGAAAGGTATTGTAAGCTCAAAAAAGTACCGTAGTACACAGAATACATCCTCATAGAAGTATTGGGAAACTCTAAACTGGAGATTTTTCTCTGGTTAACGATCCATCAAACACATTTTGTTTGTCCGGGTAATGAGTGTGTTTACAATGGGCTGTAGTGTATTGTGCAGCCCACATGAAAAATGGGATTAATTCGATTATCCCTTCCTGAGATCCGTCTCCATTCTCTCTCAGTATGGAAACCAGATGCAAATAGGAATTCATTTGGCACAATGTCTGTATATAAAACACAGGGGAAGTGTAGGAACATTGCAATGGCACACAGAGCCAATATATGATGGTCTGTTATTCATTATATATTGGAATGAACAGTTCAGTATAACATTACATACCTAAAGAGTGTATATTTCAAATATTTTATAATTTTGTTGCACAGTGCTTTGAGTTTTCCTCCGTTAGAATTGACAAAACTGCAGGCAAAGTTTCTTTGAACATACAGCAGCTGTTGTTTGAGACAAGAAGCAGATATTTTATTTTTCTGAAGATCAGTATGCAGTTATGCTCATAACAATCCAGTATTTGCCAAATCCTGTATTATCAACTCGAGCTGTCAGCGACCACACACCTTCACCAAGGTTGCACAACCCTTCTGTTGTTTTGATCCAAAAGATCCCGATTTGAACTGAAAGAAACACAGAGACTATGAGGAATGAGGAATGTGTAAAAAAAAAAAATTTCATATGAAAGTGTGCTGTAGCTCATAAAAGCTCAATTGTTCAAAAATGCTACATCTCTCAATGTTAGGAGATCCTTTAAACATGAAAACATACATATCTACATATGGATCTGCTCCAAAAATAAACAATTGGTTGCATTTTCTGTTATACACAAATTCTATACAAAATTCTGTCAACGTGTGTAACATTGAAGAATATACGAATAGGGTAAATTGCAGTTAAATGTGTTAAATCTGTTGTTATGTAAAAGGATCATATGTTTGATACTCGTTAGTGTCCCACTATTGATTTGTCATTACAGTTTTCTGTTATGACATTCATCAATCTACCTCCACGTAGCCTCCACTCTGAGCCTTTTTGTGTCACTCATGCCATTATTAAGTGCTTCTTGTTGTGCACTCGTCAGCATATTAAAGGTTCTCACTTTCCTACATTCAACATGCAGCACTCCTTTCTCTTTGTGCTATTACTGACCCATTTCAGAAGCCTTTGCACACCGTCTTTTTGTTGAACACTGAATACTAGGCATTTTAGATTTTTTCAATTTCCAGTTCATCAACAATTGTCTGTAAGTGTGTGTTCACATTCTCACCTTTACCAGTCGTGTCTATGGAAACCTTCGACGTACGAAACTCTCGTGAGATGGTCGAGGTTGACCTCGAATAAAGTAGAATATTTTGACTAGTCAGGGAGTCTCTCGAGAGTGAGAAATGAGAGTGGTATAATCACAAGTTAGCCACGCCCTAAAGCATACCCTGCTTCATTGTCAATTATAATCTAAACTGGACCATAATTTACTAAATGAATTGTAGAAGACTTGAAACTAGCAATTGAGACCATAAAGTCATATTTACAATGATTAATGAGGTAACAATTTAACTGAGAAGTAGGGTCATTTTCTCATAGACTTCTATTTGTGACCAATGGAGTCGCTCCCTGCTGGCCATTAGAAAGAATGCCAGTTTAGGGGGGGGGGGGGGGGTCACCTCGTGTCCACATGATTCCCAGCTACGCCCCTGAATTCATATCAGAGATGTGAGAGGGGAAGAGAACACAAAGAGGGAAGGCAGGAGGAAAGACAGGGAAGGAGGAGGAGGAGGAGGAGGTCTGCGTAAACCCCGCCTCCGGTCTCGGATCCTCTCGCAAGTCTTATTCACAGCGTCTCACGTTAAGGATAGAGAGAGAAAGGGGAGAAGCAAGAAGAAAGGAACTCGAAGAAGAAGAAGAAGAACAAGCAAGGGAGCAGCAAAACGACCATGGCAATATCCAAAACGTCTCAGCTTGAGATAGTGTCCGATCACAGCGCACCTCTACCACCGTCGACCACTGCACGGAGCATGCAGTCGCACAATAGACAGAGCCCAGATGAATGAGGAGCCGTTACCTGGGCCGTGGGCAAAATGAGGGTCATCTTCATCCAAAACGCCGGTTTCGTCGCAGCTTTCTCGCCTTTCAGATGTGAGTCGGTGATGTTGGCAGCGTTTAGGACGATAGATAAGGTGAACGAGCCACAGTTATACACAGCTAGATCATGCAAGTCGACCGAGGAGTGAGATCAGACCCGTTGATTTAGTCGTTTTTTATTATTATTATTTTATTGGGATAGAGCTTGCACATACATTATAGCCAATATATATATATATATATATATATATATATATATAAATATATATATAGATATATATATAGATATATCTATATATATATATCATATTTGAATCCAACCAATTCAGGTTCCGGCATGCTGCCTGCTGTCGAAATCTGAAAACATATTTTATTACATATTGGCACTATAATTATTTTTTTATCCTGTGATACAGGACTATGTATTAGGTAATTATGTACCGATAATGTCCTTATAGACTCGTGCGATTAATCCATTAGTAGATTGATTAGGATTAAAGCGATAATAACATGAATAGGTAGGAGGAGCAAATAACTGATCAAAGCCAATTGATCAACCCAGACAATCTGGAAATGTCAGTTTCCACATGTAATAATAGGCTATGACTAGTAGGCTACGCGTTATTCCTTGTAATTTATTTATTTATTATTACTATTATTAGACCTTTTTAAGTATTATATTATCAATTTACTTTAGGTAGGTAGTTTGAAATATTTAACAGTGGGGGAGGTTGTTTAAACACTTCCCTAGTGAGATGGAAACCGCTTATTTATCGCCCCACCGGGGGGCAGCCCGTCCCCAGGCCCAGAGGGGCCAAACCTCAGCGGGCAAACCGGCGGGAGGTGACCTCTCCCCTCCACCTCCAGCTCCATCCCCGCCTGCCGGCAGCTCGGCCGAAGACACCCCGGCGAGCGGTGATGGACGGAGAAATCCCGGCGTGAAGAAGCACCACCACAAGCACAATTTGAAACACCGCTACGAGCTGCTGGAGACGCTGGGAAGAGGCACCTACGGCAAAGTGAAGAAGGCCATCGAGCGACGCTCCGGCAGAGAGGTGAGTCACTTAAGAGGCGCTTTGAGCAGCTGTAAACATCTGGCATGATGCTTTCAGTTCGCCCAGGCGCTTTGTTGTACATGCTGTAGCCACTACAGAAAAAGAAACATTGCTCCCATAATAAGTGCTTTGTTGCTCTCAGAGGCGTGTGCATGTCCTGCCCCCCTGGGAATTCCCCCTCTGCTCAAAAGGGCCCATGGGTCCAGGGAGTTGTGGCTGCACACGCCATGTCCTATGTGGGGCCTCAAGACCGGATGCCTGAGTGCAAATCCGGCTACTGACTGACAGATGCGACTCAGGGGTCTCAGACTGTAAACATCATGGAAAACAGCTGACAGTCCCCCAGAGATACTTGGGCTCACTCACATTTTTTTTGTTCAATGTTTCAGACACATCCTTTCGGTTTTGTTTGTATTTTGCTGGGAGAGTGTTTTTGCATGAGTCAGTCCAACACTTTCTGTTTCTTTATGTACAATCTCTCTCTCTCTCTATTTATATCTATTTATATTTATATGTCTTTCTGTGCCAGCCATCTGCTGTAATGTACTGGCCAGCCCGTGTTTCCAAATATTATTTTATTTCCCCCTGTGGCAAAATTTGACCCCTCTGCCCATTCTGGCAGGATGTGAGGTGCTTTCCATGAGCTCTGAGAAAGCCAGGGGGAAACTCATAGGTCAACAATGTCCCCCAATGGTTTCATAACTCCTGCATGCTTGATAAGGGAGCCATAAACCCTTCGGTGGGGCTGCTCTCACTTGGCCTGTCTCACTTGGCTCCTTGTCCTTTCTCCGGTATGTTTTCTTATTTATTATTGCCATGGCAGCCGCTCTAACGGGAAGCATTTCGCATCCACTGTAAAATTGCACAATACTTATACTGACTATTTGACTGGAAGGGTCAAAATAAATAATTTTGACACTCTGAGTTTGAGATATTGTTTCAAGGAGATAAGTGAAATTGGCTCAAATTGTTTGGCTTCTGAAATGTATTGTTTTAACGATTAACAGTATTTGACAGCCACTCACACTAGATTCTTCACAGATTTGTGTGCTTTTGTAGTGTTTCTAAAACCATGCTGGTATTAAAATGTTTACATTAAGTTCAATTCAATTACGCCCCCTAATCAAAATCCTACCTTCATGAGGGTTATAATGTACAGATTTAGAGAGGCATCGAATCAATTTCATGGTTAGTTTGGAGGCTGTTGTTCATGGTGCTATCAATCTGTATTATATTACACAGACAGGTGTTTCTGTCACTTAGCCTACCCTCACTGATAGAAATGGGGTGGGCAAAATAATAGAAACACCTGTCAGTATACAAATAACCCTTTGTAGGTCAAAACTCACTGGCCCAATGGCTTCCACTCTCCTGTAATCTGCTGCAATTTCCTGAGCGTAGCATTTAGACTTTAAATAGTATCTCGGTAAAGTATAGGGCTTCCTTGCACCACTGTGTTTCACGTGGGAGTTTGTATATCTTAGGGGAAGTCCTTTGAGAATCAACGCCTCTGCTCATGGAGTACCAGCAGAAAAACAGACAGAGCATGACTGCCGGCTGCCTCACGGGCCACGTGTGTCTGGCGCTGTGTTGCTAGAGTTTACTTGGCCTCTGACTCCAGGTTAGTCCCTTGTGTCCGTATGGCAGATACAGCCGTGCGGTGAGACTGTTATGCAATCGTCTCGACTACCCCCTGTACCTTTTCCTGGTTCGTTTCCTCAAACCAAATGAGTCGAGCAGACGGACTGAGAAAGTTTAGTGTGCGACTGTTTGTATCCACATGTGTGGAATGAGCTGAAGGCACTTGGGGAAGATTGATTAGATGTGGGCACATTTAGTGTGTCAGCGAAAGTGGAACTGAGTGACTGTCTGCTTTAATCTGCAAAGCCATATGTCGTAGTGCTTGGCAGCTCAGTGGAAACCCAACATTATATGGAGGAGTGCAATTGATCATAGAGATCATAGTGGGGATATGTGACGTGTGCACGAGCCTCTAGAACAGCTGTTCTCAGTGTGGGGTTCGAGGTCCCGCAGTGGTCCGTGGCATGCTGACAGTGGGTCCATGAAAAGTTTTCAAATGCAATTTTTAAATCTACAGTATAATAGTTCCTGGATGACATTCTGATCCAACAAACCTCATAGAGTCTGCAAATATGTTATATGATAATATGTACAGGTCTAATAATGTCTGTTGTGTTGTTCTTTCACATAACTAAGACTATGGAAGTGAAAAAAAGACTTATAAGTCTAAAAAAAAAGAAAACCTCTGCTTTAGAAGATGTGTGTCATGTTTGTGTACCCGTGAGAGAAAGACACTGTGTGTCGTAATGTAGTATTTGCCATCTAGGTGACTATAGTATAAAGGTTGTGGTGACAGCCGGGTCTAAAATGGGCAGTGACACTTGAAAGGCCATCCACAGCAGGAAATGAGATTGAAGGGGAAGGTTAATATCCTGTATGGGGGATCCATCGCACACCGGAGGGGGTGGGTAGTTTGCACAGAGACACAGGGAAGCCCACCACCATAACAAGACAGGGACAGCCTCAGTTAAAGAGGTTAGAGAGTTATATTAGTACGAGCTTAAAGCACCAGATTACATCATTCCCCAACAATGGATTCACTGGAGAGGTACGAGGGGGGGGACGACACTGACATTCCTCTGCTATATGTGGTGCCGTTGATGAGGTATTATGATTCCTGGCTGTGTTTGAGAATATAGTTCTCTGGAAAAGTGATGGGCCTCTTCCCTCCCACTCACTCTCTCTGTCTCCCCCCTAACTCTGACTCGGACACACACACACACACACACACACACTTGCAACACAACAGATGATCGTGATCTTTAGAGAGAGCAGAGAAGGGTGAGCTTGTGATGAATACTTCATCTATTTTAATGGCCTGAGAAAGCACAGGAAGATGTCAGGCTCTACCGAAGCAAAACATGGACTTTCACTTCAAACAGCTCTGTTGTAGACGGGGAGGGGAGGGGGCAGATGAGGCCCGGCCCCATACCTGGCAGGGGCCGGCGTGGGCAGCAGTGCAGCGCCTGTTTACTGTGAGTGACAGTAATAGGGATCCACTTAAGGACAAGCGTAGCTGTGTCAGCCGGCCAGGCCAGCTGGCAAGTGGCTGATCTGAAGTCCTGTTTAACGATCCGCATCGGGGTCAGGGCAGGGGAACATGAGGAGATACACCAGAGATGCATGGCTTTGTCTCAAGCCCAATGTGGGAGAGCTGGCTCATTCAATGAGTTAATATGCAGTGTGGAATCAAGATCATGGCTGTTAAAGATTGATTACCCTTTTTGGGGGGGGGTAAAAACTTTTTGGTTTTCAGCAGCAGTATTTGTAGAGTTCTCTTGCCTTTGCAAGTAACATTTGGAGGTAATTTCTTGTTGTTGCCTAAATTAATGAATTCCTGAAATAGTTCCGACATTAAATCCAGGAAAGTGACTCACATTCTGCCTCACTGTTAAACACCAAAGTCAAAAATGTTACTTACGTTTTGGGAATCAGTGATAAAATGTTGATGAATCTGATGAGGTAAGGAAACACATCAGTGTTAAGACACAAACAACTTTCCCCAATTATGTACACAGCATGTGGACCCCCTGGACCCAATTTTGTTTATTATGGTATCATTTCTTTAAATTCTATGTAATCAAGGCATGCTCTGGAAGGGAACCATTCCGGTTTGGGGTTATTTTTATTGATGTACTCGGTAATTAGCTTGGCACTCGCTACTGCCTGTGGTTTCTGCTGAATGGAATAAAGCTGGGCTCCTCAGAATACCACCGCTTCACAAGGAAAGGACAAAAGTTTAAACTAACAGAATTCAGAGCTAACAGACTCTATAGAGGCCTGATCAAAGCAAACTCAGGACTCAATCCAGAATGTTTAGGCTACAATTATAGTGACATGTGCTAGACTGTGTACTCTTCAATAGCTTCTTTGGAAAAAGGCCCCTAACCTCTCATTTAAGGAGGACACAGGCCGGAGGTTTGAATGCATCCAGTTGCAGTCGACTCTTACCCCGGTGGCATTGCCATGACAGTGAAAAATCGTCAAATCAAGTGTAGTTGTTGACTGTTGAACCTCATGTAGCAGGCCCATTGGCAAGGCAAGTAGACTGAATCACTTCCTCAACCCCTGCCCATTCTCCAGATTCCTCCATAAAACTCCCAGCAGGCCAGCTTTTCAGGCTATTTCAAAAGTAGGCCATTAGCTGTTGTTAATCAGAGTGACTAAAAATAAGAAGACCGGGTAGTGATGTAGTGTCTTCTCAAGGACTTTTCGACGGGGGAGGAAGCACGGCTGTGTAGGTTAATACTGACGTCTGATGATTTATGGAGGAGCACTCTTGACCTCCTTGCCTCCCAGCCTTCCTCCAGGGACCATGAACATTTAACAACTACCGTCCCTCCTTTTCATGATACTCGTCGTCCTCAGCTGTTTCTGAGAGAAGACGGTTTGCTGTGGAATCTGACATCTGATCTCTCTGTTAGAGACGGGTCGGGGGGGCCCAGATGAGAGACGCGGCCCAGACACTGACTAATACCTGGTTAAATGTAGGCCCAGGCCCTGAAAGAGGACAAAGCAAGCCTCCATTATGGCATCACATGTCAGGTTGTTTTTAACCTTCATTTTGCTTCATACAGAAAAGAGGCTGAGTAAATTACACAGTGTGAGACTAAGATGACACCTCCTACCTTGTTTGACTCATGTGGCTGTCATAACAGCAAGGCCTGGTGAGGAGGTCAGAGGTCGTTATGCTGGCCCTACAGGAGCCCTGAGGGGGGTAAATGAGGTTGATTGAGTGTATTAAGGAAAGATATGTAGCAGTACAGTACATACTGAGTTGGCTCACATGTTTTTACTGAGGCAGACAGACGTCACATAGTGTGCAGTATGTAATCTGTGTGAGCCATGTACATTTTAAAGTGCACTGATAAGATAGTGAATATAAATATGTTTTAGTCTTATTTTCCCGCTCCAAATGAAATCAATGGAGTTATGTAATCAGTTTAAGCGGACAAAAAGGAAATTGTGTGGCACCCAAGCTCTGTTACTGCGAAATCTAAATGTTATGTTACTCTATAAGTCAGCTGATCAAAGCGTCCTCTGCCCTCTGTTTCCAGGTGGCTATCAAGTCAATTCGGAAGGAGAAGATCAAGGACGAGCAGGACATGGTTCACATCCGTCGAGAGATTGAGATCATGTCAGCCCTCCGCCACCCACACATCATCTCTATATATGAAGGTGAGGGCTTGCTACATACCTGCAAAAAGACACACGAGAAATCATACACGCCCGTTTGCCCATATGTCCAAAATTCTCCCCTCAACTCATTCAGCACTTGTGGCCGAGCTGCAGGATTGTCATGTTATGACATGCAGATGTCATAATAAGACCTGGACTACAGCTCTGGGATGTTATTCATCTCATCTGCTCTGTCTGGCTGCCTGGGCCCGTAAAAGTCTGGATGGCTTTCACGGGGTGCACCTGGATCTCTCTGAGTGGGTGTGTGTGCACATGTGCGTTGAAAGTTTGTGTGTGTAAGAAGGGTGGTATTCTAAGGGATTGCCTCTCCCACATCTAAGAGGTCTCATCTCTTGTCTTCTCTGGTTTTGATCTCAGGGCCAGACATCTGCTGATACTTAGAGACAACTGCAGCTGGGAGCCAGACTGTTCTTGTGTATGTGTGTGTGTGTTTGCACATATGTGTCTTTGTATACTTGTGTCTATGTATGAGCCTGTGTGTATATCAAGGGAGATGCTGAATTGACCTTAGTCACCCAGGCATGCACCCTGTCTGACTGTGCTATGCAGAGGGAGGAAAGACCTTAAGCCTTCCCTGGAGCAACATCAGCATATATCTACCACAGGAAGCAACTCTCTCTAAATATCAAAGCCTTCAAGTCAGGCTCAAACGGCTCCTTCTTTAAATACGAGCCCCTTTGAATGACCTTAACTTCACTGGAAGAAAACATAGATTAGGATTAATGGTGAGTGTAAAGTTTGAACAATTCCCATTGAATTCTGTCAACATATTGCATGCAATTAATCATCTCTTATAATGTAGTCTGGGTGTATGTGCAGGCAATTAAAGTCACAAGGCGCTGCGGCGTGAGTCGGTTTCACGTGATTTGTGACTTGTGACTTATTTTTTTATGCCTGTGTCAACAAAGCAACGGTTTATATGCCCTTTTCAGGATAGCTGCCCTGGCACAATGGCAGCCGGTTGTGTGCTACTGCCCAAGCTGGCTTACCCACTGTCCTTTGTTCGGTGTCAAAGTCCCCAGATTGTTATCGGCAAAGTGAATATGCAACAAACATAACTATTTGTCCTGGGAACGTGCCAGCAGTCAGCTGGAGGGCCAAAGTGCAGCCAAGTTGTATGTGTTTTGTGGGAGAATGATTAAAAGAACACCCAATTTTTATAAACTCCGAGGAGGCTGCGTGGTGTTCCTCTGTGTGCTGCCTTCCTTTATCAGCGGCCTACTCCACCAACAAACCCGACCAGACTCAATGCTCTCGCTCTTTGGTGTTTCTCTTCAAACCCACCATTTACTGTTGTGGCCTGGCCTCCACCCAGCCTTGCTTTAGAGACATATAGGAGGCCCCGCGATTTCTGTATCCGGCAACACCCTCTTCAACAGCCCCTGCTAACTGCCTTGTGTGAAGCAAAGCTGAACCAGATGTGTTTGTGAAGATTGATTTTTTACCACTCCCTCACATTCTGCATCCATCAGCATGCTGTGCTGGGCATTTAAAAGCAGATTTTGCTCTTTGCTCCTCAGGCTAGGTACCCTAGTGCCCACCATTTAAGACAACTAGTCAACCCCAAAGAATGCTGTAAATGCAAAAATACATCTAACTAACTAACATGTTAGTAGCACGATGTATATTTACCGTACAGAAAACAGTGGTATTGATCTCCTCATCTAACCTTCAGCAAAAAAGCGATTAAGTGTATTTCCTAAAATGTCGAACTATTCCTTTAACGGGAAAGGGAAATACGGAGGAGGTATACATTTTGAACAGACACACACATGCTGTGAGTGAAGTTTTATTGTATTCATTTTACTGCATTCTCTAAAGGTGACATAAGCCTGGATAGTAATTTAAACTCTGAAGATCTTTTGTCATGGTAGCTAAGTTCAGTAAATAATAAACAATTCAATAAATAACTTGTTGAGTTAATCAAAAAGTTTGAAGTTTTCAATGCTTGCTTATTTATTGTCTGCATCAATAGTACTCCACTACTCCTCTGTGTTACACTTTGTCAAAGTAATCTTCTGGTCCCTTTTGCAAGCTTGCAACATCGTCAGTGAAGATAATAGGACAATAGGTGCTAATAAGTCAGATCTGAGGGCTCGGCCTGTGAACAAAGCCTGGTGAGTGACAGCGAGGCTGCAGCGGTGGCTGGTGTGCTCAACGGGCTGTAACAAACCCGAGTTATGTAAGCCAGGTAATTACTTCACCACCAGGGGTCAAAGGTAAATGCGAGTGCAAGCTGAGTATCGGCTCTCGAAGCACAACCCCTCCACGGCTCACCACGAATGTCAGTCCAAGTCACCGCTCTGTCCACCAGTCAGAGGGCTGCTTCTGCTCTGCCCTCCCAGGTGCTTGGCTTACATCCCGTCTGTTACTCCCCAAGCGGCCAGACAGTCCCAATCAGAGAGCATTACCATCACTCAGCAACTGTGTGTTTTTGTAGAGGATTATATCTTTTAAAAGACCCTGAGATTGGGCGGGGGTGAGGAAAGTAGTGTGACAAACTATGAAGGTGCTCACTCAAGGGTGCAGAAAGCAGAGGCCCTCACCCCCGGTGACCCTGCTGTGTGGGAAAATCAACCTACACAATACGTTGCAACATGACTGACTGTGTTGTTGTCATCTCCTCAGCCTTTCTCTCTGTCCTTCTCTCTGTCCTTCTCTCCCCGCCTAACCATTTTCATTCCCTTCATGCCAAGGTGCAGGGAGAGAAGTATGTTGCCAAGTTGAAATTATACACTAGAAGGCTAAATACTGACACAGAATGATATGTTTGGTGACTGCAGTGGGATGGGAAGGCATTACAGTAACACAACTGTAATAACATTACCATCTCTGCTCACCAGATGTGCAACAAGTCACCATTTTTAATTCAAGTGCTACTCTCAGTTAACGTAAAAGACATTTCAATTATGTTGGACTTGGACTTTAACTCGTAAACAGAAAGATACATGATTAGTTAAATGAATTTAGCTCGGCGCTCATTATGACTCACACACAGAAATACACAAGACAGTTGAATTCTCTTAGAATAAGCAGGGTATGCTCTTACCCGTATTGAGTAACGCATTCATTTTCCTGATATGAGCCCAGGTCTGCTGTGAGAAGGGAAAGTCGCGCTGTGTTGCCACAATATAGCGTTACACAATCATTTATGTGATATAGACACTCAGTATAGTGGTTAAGAATGTGGGAGTGTGTTGTAAAATGTGTTGACATAATGCGATGTGTCAAGGGCATCGCTTGACACTGTGGTGCACCCTCTGTCTGCAAAGTGAACCTTTTCTCTCCTTGATTTGGTTCCTGCTTTATCTCGGTTTTCACTGCTCTCCACTCGCTCTGGTCTCTGAGGAGTGGGCTTGATTGAGTTAACAACCCCTCCTTGCTTTGTTGTGAAGGAGCCAGACACACTAGGTGGGGTTTGGGTGATGTAACCCTGGGAGAAATACAGAGATGTAATGTGCTCCTCTGGAATTTGTTTCTTGCTCCAAAACTAAAGGGGGGGTGAACTGGTTGATTCTGCTTTCCACATAACAATGTCCATTTGTGATTCTAATATGTTCAAATTAACGTGGAACGACTTTACAAGTTGTGCTCCCACCTCTCTTGCCGTTGAAAGTAGATATTAACGGACACCAATTGTTTTATCATTTCCCAGTGTTTGAGAACAAGGACAAGATCGTGATTGTGATGGAGTACGCCAGCAAAGGCGAGCTGTATGACTACATCAGTGAGCGGCGGCGCCTGAGCGAGCGGGAGACGCGACACTTCTTCAGACAGATAGTCTCCGCCGTGCACCACTGCCACAAGGTGAGAAAATCCATACCATACTACACATAGAGAAGAAAAAAAACATGCACATTCTGTCTCTTGTTCACCTTCTCTCATTAGCTCTCTCACACACATCCGGACTTTGTTTTCTAGGCCACGGCATGCTTATTGTAACATTAACCATGCACCTCCACCATACGCCTTATAGCCATGTTAATCGGCAGGCCCTACACAGTATGCTTTTGTTGGCGCTCGTGTTTGGGAGTCATCTGTTTCTGAGTGAAGAAGGAACACAGGCCACTTTAATTCAGGCTTACACTCCGATTACAGTGCGCCAAACAGACCCGGCATTAATTCTGTCCTCATCTGTTGAAACACGCTGATGGATGTCCCGAGATACCCCCAAAGCTTTTCCCCAGATATTTAGCTGCAGCCACACCTCACTAACTCCCATCAAAACCTCAAGGTCGCCAGGGCTTGTTTGGATGGGCTCCCCCCTTGTCATCCTCTTCCCAGCTGGAGATAGGGATGATGTCATGAGCCTCAGATAGGAGAGTCCCAGACTGCCATGAATGATGACTCATCACCACCAAGCACAGCCTCCCACTGGGTGCGGTGGTGTGAGTCACTGACACAACAAGCAAACAACCATTTCTTCCTTGTGTCTGCCAATCAGGATCATGTGGACATGAGCTCCCTGCCAGGCAATGACCAATGGGAGATGCCATGCAGAGCACAGCCCCGGGGGGGGAGGAGTGACTGGTGAAGTCACTCCTCCCAATCTGAGCTGGGTCTGTCTGTCTGCATACCACATGTTAATTCCAAGGTTTCTTGTTTTTTAAACCCAGGCCTTAACATGAACAGTATAGTTGTTTTTTAATCCCTAGATGTTGTGAGAACATAATTCATACATGTTAGTAATTACAGGCTCATGTTTATGTGACACATGTGAGTCAATTTGAAAAGAAGATCACAGCAGATGTCAGAATAAAGACCCCAGAGGGGACAACTCCAATTAAAGAGTACGAGCCCAATAGGCTTGCCTTGATTTCCCCCGAGAGCTACGAGCTTGCTTTGCATGAGTAAATCATCTCTTACTACAATGGACTGTTTATCACTCTGATCCATCTCTAGTGAATAATGCATCGACCATCAATCAATCATTACTGTGTTGTTTTACTCGTTGTCTTTCAGAATGGAGTGGTTCACAGGGATCTGAAACTGGAAAATGTGCTACTGGATGAAAACTGTAATATTAAGGTACGTTTGCCCCTTGATCTGTGACTGAAATCCCCCACCTCAAATGATCCTTGTGTGAGGGATAAACAATCACATGGCTACGGTAAAATTCAGACGTACCCCTGTTTCCACAGATTGCTGATTTTGGGCTGTCCAACCTGTACCATAAGGACAAGCTGCTGCAGACCTTCTGCGGCAGCCCGCTCTACGCTTCACCGGAGATCGTCAATGGGAGACCTTACCATGGCCCAGAGGTGAGGCCCAGTGAACAATGACAATAACTAAAACCCCAGCTGTTTGTGTGTGAACTTAATTCCAGGACAGGATTTCCTTTTATGTATCCATCATTATCATTGTTCTCCCTGGTTGTTAAATTTGGTTTGAACCTCCCAGATTGCTCACCTTAGATAGCTTTCATCATTATCTCACTAGTGATTATCATCATCACATATCACACATCCATACACAAAGAGGTGGATAAGCTTTATTTTCTGCTTCTTTGATGGGATTACTGTTAGTCTCCAGTCAGAGGGAGGCATCTCTTGCATCTCCGCAGTGGGTCAGCTCAGATACTGTCTGCATCCCTTCCCTGTCCTCCACTTCCCACAATGTCTGGGTCCTTTGAAGTGAGGAACTGGAGGATAGTTTTTCCTCACTTTCTCTTCATCCTAATGGGATCGGAATGAGCTTCCACAACCTCAAAGAGACGCTCATGGTCAAAGTTAAATAGTTTTGGGTGAAAGAAAGAGTGAAAATGTCTCCCCAAAGCCACGTATCTGGCAATTCTATACTCATTCTGAAGGGCGTCGCCTCTAAAATTGCATCAGTTACATAAAGCAAAGCAACAAAACGGGAAAAAACTTGCATTTTTAGATATTCAAGTCCAACCATTCAATTTAGGGTAATTCACTATAATTTACTCCAGAGTGCTAAAAACTACAGTAGTCCGATTGCAATCAAAATGACAGAAGCCCCGGTTGGGGTGAGGCCACAAATTACAGCAAACACAGGCAACGGAATTAGAACACAACAATAGTGCGTGCCCTGTCTCGCCCTCGGGAATGGACCAACGGCAACAGAAGAGAGAGACATTCTTGAAGTGGGTCCAGACCCTTAGAGGAAGTACACTAGCTCTTTAACCAGCCCTATCTGATTTCCTCTTCCTAGACTACGTCTCAAAGCTTGAGCTACCGCCATCGGACGTTCATTCCTCAGAACATCGCATCCTCCCTTAGCCACAGTCAACACACACACACACACAAATCACATTTCCCCCTTTGTCACACTCTCACATACACACACTGAGTCAGGTCATCTGCTGACGAATAAATGGCAGCGTGTCTGCAGCGAGTCATCAGGGGCCAGGATATCACGACTCTGCCATCTGTGCTGGACTCATTACCCTCTTCCACTCCCACCACTACCCACGTGGCTCTGCACCTCCTCATGCCCCATACACAAAGTCTTATGTAACCGCTTACTTAGAAAGCCAAAATGCATTAGGTTGGTGGTCAAAAAAGTGCTTGCTTCTGCCTGGCAGAGCAGGAGAGAGTGGGGGGGGGGGGGTTTGGAGGACAGGATTTATTGAAAACAAGCCATTTCCCACCAGCGTACCGGCATTTGTCATCATTTCTGTGAAGGCTGCGCCGGAGAATCACTGTAGCTATACAAGCTCCTGAACAGAGATGTTCTTGTGTGGTGTTAGCGTGAAGAAGTGATTGTAGTGCTTATTCATGTCAAAGTCTAACTCAAAGTATAATTAATAAGTCTGCTCTGATGTCGAGTAGAGCTGAAACATTCACTTTAATTCAATCAAAACATGAAGACTATTTCCATTGCAGAACACCAAATCTAACACACCTCAAACGTCTTGTTTTATTGGCCCGCTGCCAGTGTGTGCACCACGTATGATTGAATGAACTAGTTTATAACCGTGTAGTTTTTGCTTTCCCCAGGTGGACAGCTGGGCTCTTGGGGTGCTGCTGTATACCCTGGTCTACGGGACAATGCCATTTGATGGTGGAGACCACAAGAACCTCATTCGCCAGATTAGCAACGGCGAGTACAAAGAGCCCGCTCAGTCATCAGGTACTGCAGGAACCTTTGTTTGTATTTCTCTTTGTTTTTTATCTCATGCTCTGAAAACACACTGGATCCCAGTGCCCTTTTATAAAACTATATCATAAACAATACTTGACAAAATCTAGTTCAGCTGTACCGCAGTTAGTCAGTGAGATACACCGTTTGTCATAAACTGAAACCATTGACCCCCATCTTTCTGTCTATAAATTGTACAGCATTCGCTTTATGGAAATTCCAGAAAATACTTGAAAGTCCATGAACTGTTGAATGGAATATTGATCAGAGTACTCTCAATATACACATATATCTGCACAATCCATTATGTATGATGCTTTTTTGGCCAGACAGTAAATAAACTCAATAATATATCATAAGCTACAAACCTGTCATACTACTCGTTGCCTTTTGGTTACGCATTAACAGTTTGATTTAAGTCTAATGGAACTCAATCATATAGTAAGAACTAGGTGCAAAAATCCATTTAAAACTCATTTTAACAAAAAGTGTTTTTATGCCTATTATTATTGAGTTCTGAATGACACTCAACTAAAGACACTCACATGGTGTGAATTTCATCACTGCCCCGTGTTGTTGTGTTATTTAACTGAAGCTGCATTATTGTGGTTTACACTGAACAATGGAAAAATAACATGAAACATATTTAGTGACTTTAATTAAGGATGTATAAGCACTTCAGTCATTTTCAAAAGCCTCTTAATTAATCTCACTCTTCCAATCAAGTTCTCGTAATAGGGTATAATGTGAATAGATTTTTATGCCAAGTGTTGTGCAGTATGAGACGGCTTACAGATTATTCTTCTTCTGTTTCCTGCCAGATGCCCGAGGACTGATCCGCTGGATGCTGATGGTGAACCCTGAGCGCCGGGCCACAGTGGAGGACATAGCCAACCACTGGTGGGTAAACTGGGGCTGGAAGAACAGTGTGTGTGACTGCGAGACCCAACGCGATCACGGAGGCTCGCCCATGCTGGCCCGCTTCATCGACTGGCAGAATCGCACTGAGCCACGTGGTTCTGGAGCCAAGGCTGCAGCCATGCCCCACCTGCTGCGCCAGAGGCCCAAAAAGTCCAAGAAGGAAAATGTTGAAGCAGGGGAGGCCCACTGTGAAGCAGAGGACAAGCCGGGTCTGAAGAGACCCAAGGGGATCTTGAAGACCAGGGTCACTGGGGAGCAGCGGTCTGCCAGTCTGGAAGAAGTCGAGTTGGGCCATGCAGCGCTGCCTCAACAAGCCGAAGGTGAAGAGGAAGCCTCAAGTCCAGATCAAGAGGAAGAGGAGCTGAGTCTGGGAGGAGGCTCGCCAGCAAAGATGGTGCCCTCTCTGCCCAGGAAAGGTATCTTAAAGAACAACCAACAGCGGGAATCAGGGTACTACTCCTCACCAGAGCGCAGCGAGTCCTCCGAGCTTTTAGGGGGTGCCAGTATGTCTCTGCTAGCCACCTCCCCGACCAAGAGAGTGATGGGGAGAAAGGGCATCTTGAAGCGAAACGGCAAGTACTCCACTTACAGCGGGCCTCCCTCAGCAGCAGCGGTAGCCGGTGTCCTCGGTGAGCCTCATCCCTCAACTGACTCTGGTCTGTCCCGCAGTCAGAGTCGGCCCTCCAGCATAGTCGGGGAGGACAGCTCCGTCCTGTCCCTGTCGCCCAGCTCCCTCAGTGGGGCCGAATGGCATTCCTCCACCCCCCACCTCCGCCCAAACATCAGGGCCTGCGCCTCGGCTGAAAACCTGCTGCAGCTCGCCAACTTCAAGGGCTTCCAGGCAGCCCCGCCGCTCCAGGGACCCAAGTTCAGCCGCGGCCCCAAAACGAAAGGCTCCCCGGGGGACAATGGCAGCTTCTCCTTGCTGGGGGACCTGGAGGACATGACTCAGGTGTACCAGCAAGCCCTGGACATCAGCAGTAACCTCACCTAACAGATGGGTGGCAGAGAGAGAGGAAGCAGAGGGAATTGAGCATGACTGTGTGTGTGCGTATGTGTGTGTACAGATGTTTATAGGTGGCATTAACGACCAGTGTGTTACTGGGATACACCTTTTGGAAGTAGTGGTTTTCCAAATGGGGCTGAAATCATGATGTGAATGATGTGTTTTCACACATACATACACACATTGATGTACACACTTCTGCTCGGGTTAGAGAGGAGCTGGCGCGAGAGAATGCCACCCAGTCTGCTTTCTTGGCCCGCCCATAGACTTTGCTGTGTTCAACATGTTTACATATTCAGCAAGAAGGCAAGTTAGAATCACAAACGCAGCAACCAGAAACTGGTTGGCTCTCCTTGTGCGCCACCCATTTTGAGTTTGAGTTTACAAAAGCACCTTAAAACTCACACAGAGCACATGCTTTTGTGATCTTTACTTCCTATATAAAAAAAGAGAAACGAACCAGGGTCTTGTTCCAAAAATAACTGACATTGCTGATTATTTATTAATATTTTCGTAGCTTTTTAGTTTTTAAGTGCAAAACTGGTGGGCGCTGGCTGTTACTGGAAGAGTCCAAAGCTCCTTGTCTCCAACTCTTTGTGTGGAACTGACATATATAATTATGTTACTCTGTGATGAGAAACATATACATACTCAGCATATATAACTGTGTCTGCGCTTGTAAAACACGCAGGCAAGTATACCTTCATAAAAGCGTATGTCCTATATATGTGTATGATACTAGGGAATATGTAGGAAGTGCCTTTTTTGATTCATGATTAAAAAAATTATGTATGTCATTTCCTTAAAGTGGAGGGAAACGCCAGGCCAACCTGTCACCAGTTGTGCTTTTTTTAAATGTTGTTTGTGAATGTGGAGAGACCCAGGGCCTTCAGCGCACAGCTGAGCAGCTTTACTTGTTTTGGGGTTCAAAGTTGAGATCAAACAGTCTCCTCTCCTTCCTCCCCCGCTCCTTCCACATGTAGAATCACACACAGATATGCCAGGACCCACAGGCCGCCGCTGAGAGACCTCCTCTGTGTTCTTTGTCAGTGTTTTAAGCCCATACTTGAGTTCGTCAGCAGTTTAGGTGGTTTGGTTGAGCACAGATTTGCTGGCAGCACCAGAGGTCTGGAGGGACTCACCTAGTGGGGCATTTAGTGAAGGGAGATGGGGCAGACACCATCTCACAGTCCTGGAATGTGCCTGGCTTTCTTAACCTTAGATGCTTCACATTTCCGGGGCCACCTGATAAAAACGGCTGTTTAGTGAGAGAATCTTTTTTTTTTTTTTTTTTTGTTACCAAAGACAAGGTGGCTTCTATTGTCAGGCTTGTTAATATTTTCCCCAAAGCGCTTCAAAACAGCTAAGTAAGATTGTTTGTTTAGGTTGCTGATGATACAGCAAATTCCTCAGACAAAGGCTGGAGACGTGTTGGTGCTAGAGATCTCTATCGGCCCCGGCCCGACTCAGCACAGGTGGGATCTGCGGTTGCGTGCTCAGCCCTCCAGCTGTGTATACTAGTCCATTATGTCAACGAAGCACAATTAGCCAGCTATTGTTTTCATTTGAGAGTAAAGAGAGAAGCAGCGTGTAGAGATTTATAGCTAGAGGGAGAAGAAAAGCGTGTGAAAGAGTGATGCTTGGAAAAGTGCTGAGGTTAGAGAGGACTCTCCTGTAAAACACAGGAAAGGTCAAGGAGTTAGATTTATGTTTTGAAGGAATTGTAATGTAGACTAGTGAAAGTAAAGAAAGTGAGTAGAAAGAGTAGATGGAAAGTTTTTTTTATACCAAAAATGTAATGAAGGTTTGGCATGATTCAGAGGAATGGATAGGTCGGGGACTAATGGGAGTCCTGTGGATTTTTCCTTGACTTGGGAATCCCCATCGGTGAATGAAATCATCCCCACGTTGGCTTTACATCACGTTTGTTTTCATTTTCTTTTTGAGTTTTTATTTGATATGCCGGGGGCTGTTGATACAGCTTGTCTTGAGGGTCAGTCAGTGTGTGATTTGTGTGTCCTGCATGGCAATAGAAAGTGTGCTACACTTTTCCACAGCAGCAAAATGTGGGAGAACGGTGACTGACATCATCCAAAATATTAACATGATGGGGATGGAAAAACATGCAGTAAATTGCCCAGAGGAAATGGATCACATGTTGAATGTTTGCAGTGGTCCTCTGGTGTGAAGCAAAGGTCCTGGGTATTGATTCCAGTTCCCGTTGCGTATTATATTGCATTTTATTGCCTTTTGTATTGCATTTTATTGTCAACTGGATTTACAGTGAGAAAATTATACTATGTTAGTATTTTTGTTTCATTATGCTTCTGTTTTTGATTTTCCAAAATATAAGAAACTTTATATTGCTTTATGTTATGGCAGAAAATACTTCCTTTCCTGGAAGTATTACAATTTCTGGACAAATCTGAAGAAGTTGGTGTAGTCTCAGTTTCCATCTGTTGTGCTACACCTGTGGGTGAGAGAAGTTCAGTTCAGAAGTAGTTCATTAGCAACCTCCAAATAGTAAAAAAAAAAAAAACTAGATGAATTGGCATAGGGTCAAAATGCAAGATTATGTACTAATGCATCGATAGCTGACCCTAAGAAAATTGCATTTGCACCTCTACCAAAGTCGGGGAGGTCCGAAATGCATCAGGAGTAAAAGGAAATAAAGCAATGGAAATAATCTGCTGATGAAACTTTTAACTCTGCCAAACTGGAAATACGTGGTGCATATCTGTTAGTTAGCAGTAAGTCTAATCATAGGAAAACTTGACTGGATATTGTTATGACAATAATAATGAATTAGTATTATTATGTTATTTAAGTATTATTTTCGTTAAGGCTCATTACTATTGATGGCTATTGCCACAGTTTTATTTTGTCTGTTGGTGATCCTGGACTGCCGAGGTGGATTAAGTTGTGTGCCTTTGGTATCTTTCATGAACTTATTTTTTATTTTTTTTTGATAATACAAATTATTATCAATGTGTTTTTATACTTGTATTTATTGGTGATCAAGCCATTTAATTTGTTGTCCAAATACTCCCTGTTCATGCTTCGGCCAGCTTTAGACTGTGTGTTGTGTTCAGGTCGTACTGCACACAAAAATAGAATTGTTTGTACGAAATCGAGTGGTATCATCTCATTGTGAAAGCAGCGGTCAGGCGTGAGTGAGAAATTAACAGTTCCTCAAATCCTGTAAAATATCTTAATTCATCCGTCCGGGTGTATTTCTACTCAACACAATGCCTCTGTAGTACTGTTTCAACTCAAATAAATGGATCTTGAAAGTTACACGTGTTTGTTTTTATGCTGTGTGTTGTCATTCGAATTTAAAAAGTGTAATTAGGACATGGACACGGAAACTGCCAATACATATAGGTATAAATTTGTCTCAGGGGGGGGATAAATACTGAAGTGTATGACATTCACATTGCAAACACCCTTCATCCAATTCACAAAATAGGCCAAGATTGCTGTCTCTCACACACTACTAGTGTTCCTTTAATCTATTTCCAGAGTTCAAGTCTCCTGAGCTCAAGCCTGACTTTCAACGGCCGCTTTAAAAAGTTATTTCTGGTTTCATCCAGTGGTGGAGTTGGATAAACAAATTATTCCCAGGGGTCAGACTGCGGGACAGAACTGCAAATACTTCATCCAACTCTCGTCTTCTTACAGTTGGGACAAGTGAGAAACAAACTATTACTGGAGACATGTCCTAATTTCTTCTCATCGATGTGTGACCCAAAAACCTACATGAAGGCAGGAAGGAGGTCAGCAGTGGTGATCCACATAGCAAAGGTGTTTGTTTCTCCTTGCATCCTAAAGTCTAACATAATGAATTGAATTAATGTATGGGGCCAAAAGGTTTAGGGCACTAAATAACTACAGGTAATTTGACTCATTTTGAAAGAATTTGTTAAAAACTTAAACCTTTGCTTAGAAGCAAAGCAGAGCTACTGAGGATAATGTGAAATCATCCAGTGTTTCCACAGCCTCTGCCTTAAATTAACTTGATGGATTTTAAATTGATACTCCACCCAAAATCTATTTTTAAGCATCTAAACGTCATTCCCGGTAGGCTTGAAAGGTGGCTGTAAATCTTTTTACAGTTCTGTCCCTCTCCTTGCACAGAACGTCTGGTCCTGTCGATTACAATAAAGTTCAATAGTGACCAGTTTTTTTTGCAGTGGAAACAAGTATCAAAACATCAACAGGAAGTTTAAACCAGCTCTTTAAACAACCTTTGAAAAACAATCCATTCTGCCTCTGTCCATTCGTTTGCTTATGATCATGAGCATACAAATGGACATCTTCCAAATGTATCATATTTCTGTCAAAATGCTGTTGAAGGCACAACTTTTAATCAATTCCTCACATACAACCCTGTCGAGCTTATTAGTGGGCATACACATTCATTTACTCACATTGGGGAGCCCACCTCCTGCTCTTCCAATGGACAGGAGAACTGGCTGGAAATTATTTTTAAGTACTATTGCTACAATAGTAATGGAAGAAGAGAAAGCTGCATGTGTTACAAAGGTGCAAACTAATGTACATGAGCCATGTATAAAGATGAAACCAGCCTTTTGTCAAGAATATAGTGATTAAAACATACTGAGCATATACTGTAGCTGCGCAGCAGAGTGGTTTATGATGCAGGAGTGGAGACATTATTGGGCCCAGACATCCTCTTGCGTTGCAAAAACATGTGTACATTTCACAGCTCGCTCTGGCTTCGGTACATTCAGGTTAACTCTACACATAAACATACTTCAGGGATGATTATTTTTGTTTGTTGTCCATCACGTTCCCAACAAAAAGGAGTTCCTCACTTTATCTGTAGCACGCAAATACTTTTTTGGGTTTCATTTTCTTCCCTCCTCCCTCTCTTTACCCTTCACAGGCTCATATTAAGATGAGAGAAACCAATCAAAAGGACAAATATAAATCTGTGATACTGTGGTATTTTCAAAATACTTTGTCCACCATGAAAACTGGCCACCATTGGAAGTGATTACACCTATTTGAATTCAACTGACCACTGTGCTCCATGTAGGACAAAAATACAAACTTATTAGAGACGACTTTTACGCCTAAAGAAGACATGTCATGTGTTTTCATTCTCAGAAGAAAAGGACCTGTGTGCGCAATGGGATCGTCTTGAACATAGGCAGACTGACAAAAGGTGGTTTCTATTGTCGCTCACGTTGGCTTTACATCGCGTTTGTATTTATATTCTTTTTGAGTTTCTATTCGATATGCGGGGGGCTGTTGATACAGCTTGTCTTGAGGGTCAGTCAGTGTGTGATTTGTGTGTCCTGCATGGAAAGAGAAAGTGTGTTACACTTTTTCACAGCAGCAAAATGTGACTGACATCATACAAAATATCAAATGATGAGGATGGTAAACCATGCAGTAGACTAGAGGACCCCAAGGAAATAGATCACATGTTGAATGTTTGCAGTGGTCCTCTGGTGTGAAGCAAAGGTTCTGGGTATTGATTACAATGAAAGACCCATTGCGTATTATATTGCATTTCATTGAGTTTGTATTGGGTAAAAATTCCTCAGGTCAGATATATGACAAAAGTGTTGATATTACATCTTTGATGAATATTGTTGTTCTTTTTGGACCCAGCACACCTGCTGGTAATTACTGAAAAAGTAGACTATAACAGTCTCTGTAGAAAAGCAATTTTTGTCAGTAGAAAACTGACAGAGTCAAACAAACAGCAGCAGACAACATGGAGCGGAGAACAGAGTTCATGTCTGGCTCCGGGAAGAAACGAGTATCTGTTTTTAGGACTTGGAGACTCATTTGATTGTCGAGGGAGAACAGTGCTGCTGCTGCTGCTGCTGCTGCTGCTGCTGGGTTAATTTGATCCACATTTTGCAAGGGGGAGTGGGTGGGTGGCTGGAAGCTCTGCAGTCTTTCGGGGCTTTGGTCCTGATGAGTAGGACACCAACCTCCGCTCGTGCTGGCCAGACACAAGCTTCATTCTTTGGAAGAAGACAACATCAAATACCTCTACAGTATAATGCAGAGCAGGATTTAGGTTTCCTCAATCACACATTGAAACAGTTATCCCAAGTCTGAAATTGGCCTTTGTAAGCTTGTCTGAGCTATAAAAGTAGCCTTTAAGCCTTCTATTTATAAATCCCTCCTACAACAATATTTCTTTTTGTCACACTGACAGTGAACTACAGAAAATGACATCAATCATCTTCTAAAGTCGTTATTTTTTTTGGGAAGTTTTCACTAAAAGAGCAATATAATTATCCTTGGAACAAGCAGAGGTCTCTTTTTGTTTTAATGCAAATTACAGTTGTCAGAGACAAGCAAGGATCAGAGGAGAAACAATAATGAGGCAATTATGCAACAATTTAAATGCTTAAGGTAATTAATTGTCAGTCGTATTCAAAGGCCAACACAGACAGCGTTGTGGAGAAAAATGTTTTTTTTGAGTTTTCTACGGCTGCACCCCTGACAATGATATGATCTGAGTTTCAAAGGGATTTTCTTATGTCTCTAGAACAATTTCTGGTTCACTTTTTGACCCTTAAATAAAGTCCAGCCGCTAGACCCTCTGAACTATTCCCTCCTTTACCCTCCTCCCTCCACATGGAGAAGGTGAGCCTGTTGCCCCTGGAGGTGGGGGTTTATTGGTGGAGACGGCATACCCAACTACACATTCAAAATGCCAAACAACCCCAGACCCCTCCCCACATACCCCTTCCGGTCCTTTAGTGTGACCCCGACTCTATGCCTTCCAGATATGAAAGTCTGCATAATGTTGGAGGATATAAGCTATTCTCTACTTTTACCGTGAAGCGCAGACTTGAAAAGAGGCCCCTCGAGCTGCCTCCGATAAAAGCCGTCACACGCAGAGGGATTTGGGACATGAGAGCTGAAAAATTTACATGCGTTTCAAATCATTTTACAACTCCTTTTGTCTCCCAAAAAACGGCTTCATCAGATGAAAAGGGAGGGGGGGGGTATACTTCAAATTGAGCAAAAAGCTGCCGAGGTCAGTGCTGCCTTGGCTCGTCTGGCTGCTGTTGCAGGCAGGATGTTCCGCAGCGAAGGTTTAGGGTGGCTGTTGTAAACCGAGCTGCCCGTTCATTGCAGGAAAAATAAACAGGCCAGGCCTGGCCTGAAGAAAGTCCTGAGTACAGTGAAGCATATGTTCCCTTGCTTAGCTGACACATTGTTTTAGAAATAACAGTCTGAGAGGCCACTTTCCATTCTTTTTGCACATACACACACACAAATGCATGTGCACATTTTTATAACCTCTTTCATTCGTTCTCGCTCTCTCAGAAAGCACTCACACAGGTTCCCTAACTCACAACCCTGCAGGACTCCTTTTCCTCTGTGCCGCTGTGATAACATTGTGACTGGATATGGAATGGAATAAAGCTACCTCCTTTCCTGCTCAGCTTCCACTCCTCTATCATTCATCCTCCATCCAGCGGGCTCCCTCCACACAGCCAGCTCTCCATCCCTCTCCTGTCCAAATGACTATTTTTAGCGGCAGCGCTGCTATTCTGGAATTTGTTGCTGACTGGCTGCTGCTGGGTGTCTGGGAGGCGATCTCTTCAGGAATGTCTGGCCCACTCTCAAACCACTCCAGAGTCCCATTGCAGGGTGGACATCTCGGGCTCTGATTACAACGTTAAGCCCGCTGTAGCTGTAGCTGTAGCTGTAGCTGTAGCTGTAGCTCACTCTCCATCCAGCAGAAACACAGAGAGAACTTTCTCTGTCCTATACCACTACGTTACTTTTACTTTTGTCAGTGTCTGTATGTGTGCTTTTGTACTTATATTGATTACAGTACGTAGTCAGGACAAGAATCTGTTAAAACAGTGTGTTTATGTAAACACTCCTCCCATTTGGTCCTCACAGGGTAAACCATTACAATTTAGGGTTTACACTTGGTTTTTGGTTAAAACTGAGAAAAATGAAAAGATTGACACGACTCTTATATCGGTCAGTGGCCAGTTAGCTTAGCTTAGCATAAAGACCGGCGACAGGGGAAAACAGCTAGCCTTGTTCAGTCCCAGGCGGCAACATCGAGGTCTGAAAAGTGAAGCTAATGCAGAAGTACCTTGAACTTGCATTCTTTCTGATAGCCAGCAGGGGGCGACTCCTCTAGTTGCAAAAAGAACTCCAATTGTGTAAAAGTTTGTGAGAAAATGACTTCTTACTTGATTAATTACCTCAGTAATGGTCTTAATTGCTAGTTTCAAGTCTTCTTTAATCCAGCATGATGTTCATTTAGCAAATTATGG